TATAGGCATGAGCTGCTATGCCTGGCCGGAATAGTTTTTTGGGGTTTATTTATTAATTTTTTTTTTTTTTTTTTATTGAGAAACAGTCTCACTCCGTTGCCCAGGCTGGAGTGCAGTGGTGCAATCTTGGCTCACTGCAACCTCCACCTCCCAGGCTCAAGTGATTCCCCTGGCTCAGCCTCTAGAGTACTGAGATTACAGGCATCCACCACCACACCTGGCTAATTTTTGTATTTTCTTTTTCTTTTTTTCTGAGTACAATTGGGAAGACAAAGTTTTATATTTTTAGTAAAGACAAATTTTCATCATGTTGGTCAGGCTGGTATCAAACTCCTAAATTCAAGTAATCCACCAGACTTGGCCTCCCAAAGTACTGGGATTACAGGCGCGAGCCACCATACCCGGCCCCAGAATCATTTTTAAAAGTCACAATCTCGGTGCTAAGGGAAATTTTTGTTACTGGAATGACAGTATTTCTAGACCTATTCAGTGAACAAAACTAGGTAATAGCCAGGCACGGTGGCTCATGCCTGTAATCCCAGCACTTTGGGAGTCCGAGGCAGGCAGACCACCTGAGGTCAGGAGTTCAAGACCAGCCTGACCAACATGGAGAACCTGTCTCTACTAAAAATACAAAAAATTAGCTGGGCGTGGTAGCACATGCCTGTAATCCCAGCTATTTGAGAGGCTGAGGCAGGAGAATTGCTTGAACCTGAGAGAAGGTTGCAGCGAGCCAAGATCAAACCACTTAACACTCCCACCTGAGCAAAAAAAAAAAAAAAAAATTTTTTTTAGTAAAGCAGAGGTCTTCTGGGTTTGGAATTCCTGACCTCAGTCAATCCACCTGCCTCAGCCTCCCAAAGTGCTGGGATTACAGGCATGAACTATCATGTCCAGCCTTTTTTTTTTTAATGCTTTATTAATATAATTAACATACCAGGCTGGGTGCAGTATCTCACATCTGTAATCCCAGCACTTTGGGAGGCCGAGGCAGGGGGATCCCCTGAGGTCAGGAGTTCAAGACCAGCCTGATCAACATGGTGAAACTCCATGTCTACTGAAAATACAAAAATTAGCCAGGTGTAGTGGCATACACCTGTCATCACAGCTACTTGGGAGGCTGAGACAGGAGAATTGCTTGCACCCGGGAGGCAGAAGTTGCAGTGAGCCAAGATCATGCCACTGCACTCCAGCCTGGGCGACAGAGCGAGACTCAGACTCAGAAAAAAAAAGAAATTAACATACCATACAACTCACCAATTTAAAGTACACAACTTGGCCAGGCACAGTGACTCACACTTGTAATCCCAGCACTTTGGGAGGCCAAGACAGGCAAATCACCTGAGGTTGAGAGATCAAGATCAACCTGACCAACATGGCAAAACAGTCTCTACCAAAAATACCAAAAAATTAGCTGGGCATGGTGGTGCACGCCTATAATCACAGCTATTCGAGAGACTGAGGCACAAGAATTGCTTGAGGCTGGGAGACGGAGGTTACAGTGAGCTGAGATTGCGCCACACTGCACTCCAGCCTGGGCAACAGAATGAGACTCCCTCTCAAGAAACCAACCACCACCACAACAACAAAAACACAATTTAATGGTTGTTAGGACTTTCACAAAGTTGTGCAACCATCGCCATGGTCAATTTTAGATTGTTTTTACCACTCCACAAAGAAATCCTGTATCCATTATTACTACCCATTTTCCCCAACCCCTTCCTGTACTACTTCTCCCTACCAGTCCCAGGCAATCGCTAATCTACTTTCTGTCTCTATAAATTTGTCCATTCTAGACATTTTATGTAAATGGAATCATATAATAAGTAGTGTTTTTCAGTCTTGCTTATAACACTTAGCATGTTTTCTTTCCCTCCCTCCCTCCCTTCCTTCCTTCCTTCGTACTCTTCCTTCCCTCCCTCCCTCCCTTCGTTCTCTTCCTTCCCTCCCTCTCTCCCTTCCTTCTTTCCTTTCTTCCTAGATGGGGTCTTCCTGTGTTGCCCAGGCTGGTCTCAAACTCCTAAACTCAAATAATCCTCCTGCCTTGGCCTCCCAAAGTGCTGGGATTACAGGTCTGAGTCACCATGCCCAGCCTTTTTTTCTTTTTAAGACCGGTCTCACTGTGTCACTCAGGTTAGAATGTAATGGCGCAGTCTTGGCTCACTGCAGCCTTGACCTCCCAAACTCAAACCATCCTCCCGCCTCAGCCTCTTATGTAGGTAGGCCATAGTAATGTGCCACAATATCCTGCCAATTTTTAAATTTTTTTGTAGAGATGGGATCTCAGAATATTGTCCAAGCTGGTCTTGAACTCTGGGGCTCAAACAATCCTCCTGCCTCAGCCTCCCAAAGTGAACGTAATGTTTTCAGAGTTCATTTATTTATGCATGTATCAGTACTTCATTCCTTTTTATTACTGAATGAGATTCCATTGTAAGAATATACCATGATTGACTGACTCAGCAGCTGGTAAATGTTTGGTTGTTTCTCCTTTTTGGTTATCATGAATAACATTGCCATGAACATTCGTGTGTGAGCTTTTGTGTCATCACGTTTTCTTTTCCTCTTGGGTGTAAGAGTGGAATTTCCGGGTCATATGGTAGCTCTGTGTTTAACATTTTGAGGAAGTGCCAAACTGTTTTTCAAAGTGACTGTGTCATTTACATTCATGCAGCAGCGTATAAGGGTTCCAGTTTCTCCACATCCTCAACAACTCTTGTTACTATTTGTGCTTTTTATTTTATTATTATTATTATTATTATTTGAGACGAAGTTTCGCTCTTGTTGCCAGGCTGAAGTGCAACGGCATGATCTCAGCTCACTGCAACCTCTGCCTCCTGGGTTCAAGTGATTCTTTTGCCTCAGCCTCCCAAGTAACTGGGATTACAGGCACCCACCACCACGCCTAGCTAATTTTGTATTTTTAGTAGCGACGGGATTTCTGCATGGTCTCGAACTCCCAACCTCAATTGGTCCACCTGCCTTGACATCCCAAAGTGCTCGGATTACAGGTGTGAGCCACCAGGCCCGGCCTTGTGCTTTTTATTATAGCCATCTTAGGGTGTGATTTCAGACTCTGTGTGTGTGTGTGTGTGTGTGTGTGTGTGTGTGAGAGAGAGAGAGAGAGAGAGAGAGAGGAGAGAGAGAGAGAGAGAGAGGGTCTCTGTCGCCCAGGCTGGAGTGCGGTGGCACAATCAAGGCTCAGTGCAGCTTTGACCTCCCAAGGCTCAGGTGATCCTCCTACATCAGCCTCCTGAATGGCTGAGACTGCAGGTGCACAACACCATGTCCAACGAACTTCTGCATTTTTAAAGAGACAGGTTTTCTCTATGTTGCTCAGGCTGGTCTTGAACTCCTGGGCTCAAGGGATCCTCCCACTTTGGTCTCCCAAAGTGCTGGGATTACAGGCATGAGCCACCCCACCTGGCCCAGATATATATATATTTTTTTTTTGAGACGGAATCTTGCTCTGTCGCCAGGCTGCAGTGCAGTGGCACAATCTCGGCTCACTGCAACCTCTGCCTCCTGGGTTCAAGCGATTCTTCCGCCTCAGCCTCCAGAGTAGCTGGGAGCACAGGTGCTTGCCACCACACCTGGCTTATTTTTGTATTTTTAGTAGAGACAAGTTTCACCAGGATGGTCTGGATTTCTGGACCTTGTGATCCGCCCACCTCAGCCTCCCAAAGTGCTGGGGTTACAGGCGTGAGCCACCGCGCCCGGCCTAATATTTGTTTTTAATTATAGAATTTTATTAAGTCTCTGCTCTTTTCCCAGCACATCTTCCATGGTAGGAAACTTAATCAGGTAAATTTCACTTAGTGCTTGCAGTTTTTGTTGGTGGTGGTGGTTTGTTTTTATCGCCTTTTTCCTGAAGTAAGTACTTGTAGTTTATTGCTAATAAATATCTCTGAAATGGTGGACACTTTACCAGAAGTGACCTTGGCAGAAAAAAAAAATAGTTGAAAGAGAATTAAACTCAAATTTAGATGTACCCAAGATCAATACCTTATGTGAGTCTTTGTCTTCTTACGTGTATAAGATAAAGAATTATCTATTCCAGATACCTGCTGTATAGATTAAATGAGATAACAGAGGTGAAACTTTCTGTAAACCACAGGCACTATATAAATATTATTCCTAGCTATGTGGCATAGTGAAAAAATAAAACCTTTTCCTCCATGTGATGATGTACTAGATTTTAAGCTCCTGAAGGAGAATAGTCATATTTGATCGATCTTTTAGTAATAGTATCCAGCACATGCCTTCCCACCACCACCTTTTTTTTTTTCCAGACGGAGTCTCTCTTTGTCACCCAGGCTGAAGTGCAGTGGCATGATCTCAGCTCACTGCAACTTCCGCCTCCTGGGTTCAAGCCAATTCTCCTGCTTCAGCCTCCCCGAGTAGCTGGGATTACAGGTGGCCACCACCTTCCCCAGCTAATTTTTGTGTTTTTAGTAGAAATGGTGTTTCGCCATGTTGGCCAGGTTGGTCTCAAACTCTGGACCTCAGGTGATCCATCCACCATGGCCTACCAAACTGCTGGGATTACAGGCTTGAGCCACTGCGCCCAGCCTAATTTTTGTATTTTTGGTAGAGATGGGGTTTTGCCATGTTGTCCAGGCTGGACTGGAACTCCTGGCCTCCAGTGATCTGCTCACCTAGGGCTCCCAAAGCGCTGGGATTGCAGGTGTGAGCCACCACGCCCGGCCCCCCACCACCTGCACCTTGTTCTTTATTCTCCTTTACTTAAGCCCTCAGGGAACACTCAGACCTATAGTTAGGAATCATTTGCATGCTTTTTTGGTTTAAGGAATTCCTCAAGGTTCACTTTTCTTTCTTTTTTTTCACTTTTTTTTTTTTTTTTGTTTGGGTCTCACTCTGTTGCCCAGGCTGGAGTGCAGTGGCATGAACACAGCTCACTGCAGCATCAACCTCCCTGGGATCAGGTGATCCTCCCTCCTCAGCCTCCCACCTCTTACAGCTTTTAAAATCATATGTCTGTGCTCACTTCAGCAGCACATATACTAAAATTGGAACGATACAGAGAAGATTAGCATGGTCCCTGGGCAAGGATGACATGCAAATTTCATGAAGCATTCTATATTTTTAAGACAAGGATTCCCTCTCTCACCACTCCTATTCAACATAGTATTGGAAGTTCTGTCTAGGGCAATCGGGCAAGAGAAATGGGTGTATACAACTGGTTGTATACGATTAGTTCTCAGGACTCTTACGAACAGGCTCCAGGACACATGTTTTGTGCTCAGTGTGTATGTAAGAAGAAATGCATTTTAAAATGGAAAAAATACATATATGTATTAAATGTTTCTTTGTTCTAAGAATACCAAGTCAATGGACTTTTTGATGATGCCAAGGGAAAGCCAATATTTTATTCTGAAATGAAGATGTGGAGACAACATGGCTCCAAGGAACTGAACCAAGCCCTGAAGAATGTGAAACGCTGCAGTCCTCCAGACTGTTCTTCTCAAAACACATTCTTTTCTAAGTTAGAATTCAGGCCATATGGTCCCTAAAATGGATCTCCTGCTCTTATTAGATAAGAAAAGGAGGGGAGAAGATCAGATGAATGCAGGAAGGCTCTAGAGGCAAGTCTTTGCATCGCACTGAAAAAGAACTATCGGGTTGACTGGACTGGCATCACAGAGCCCAGTGAAAACTATCCATCTAAAGACCACATGCTGGTCTTCCAGATTGAATCACCTAAAGTTGAGGAAATCTGAGGATGGGGAATTGTTAGTTCTGGATGATCAACTAGGTAGAACCCTGTGGCAAGGCCAGCCCTAGAGTGAGCAGGCATTGTGGGTCACCATTGTCTTGTAAGGGGACAGAGGGATTCACCCTGACACAATACTGTCCTGCACAATTTAATTCCTTATAAAAAGCATTCTCTGTTACACAAAATATATAAAATAATGGTTAAGGGATGTTGAAAGTTTTATTTAAAAAATAATAATAGGCCAGGCGAGGTGGCTCACGCCTGTGATCCCAGCAACTTTGGGAAGCTGAGGCAGGTGGATCACTTGAGGTCAGGTGTGCAAGATTAGCCTGACCAACCTGGTGAAACCCCATCTTTACTAAACATACAAAAATTAGCTTGGTGTGGGGGCGTGCATCTGTAATCCCAGTTACTCAGGAGAGTGAGGCAGAAGAATCGCTTGAACCTGGGAGGCGAAGGTTGTAGTGGGCCAATATTGCACCACCGCATTCCATCCTGGATTACAAAGTGAGACTCCATCTCAAAAAAATAAAAAATCAATAAAAATAATAATGGTTGAGAGTCAAACGCTAAAGCCAGATAGACCCAGGTTTGAATTTTCATTTTGTTACTTAGCTGTAAAAGACCTTGAATTTTCATTTTGTTACTTATCAGCTGTAAAGAGACGTACTATTTAAATTTATTTATTTTTGAAGGAGTTTCATTCTTGTTGCCCAGGCTGTAGTGCAATAGTGCAACCTCGGCTCACCACAACCTCTGCCTCCCGGGTTAAAGCGATTCTCTGGCCTCAGCCTCCTGAGTAGCTGGGATTATAGGCATATGTCACCACACCTGGCTAATTTTGTATTTTTAGTAGAGACGGGGTTTTTCCGCGTTGGTCAGGCTGGTCTCGAACTCCTGACCTCAGGTGATCCACCTGCCTCAGGTGGGATTACACAGCACCCAGCTGTCTGATTTTTTTTTTTATTATGCATTTAGTTAAAGCTGATGATGCTAGGATATAAATCTTATTTTAATTAAACCATCATAACGTCCACTCTGCTCTTCACGGAGAGACTGGCATTCATGAAGAGGAAGCTGGGGATGAGCTCTGTGTGAAGTCTCCATTTTACACAGATTTTCACTGAACATGAGATGAACCATTTGCTGGAAAACCATTGGGGAAGACGTGCACTGGACTTTTTGCAATGATTTTTATCTCTGGTGTTTCTGACATCGACTAAGGTTTCAGGCAGACAGAGGCATGGAGGACCTAGTGACAATCAGTAGGGAGCTTCCTGGTTGCTAGCAACAGTAAATACCATGGAGACACAATGACACAAAGACTCAGCCTTTCACATACACACGATGAGACCTGGAGCCTGGTTTCTTATTTCAGATACAGAGTCCTCAAGATAGAGCACAATGGCTTCTTCTTTCTCCCCTTCATATTAGACTTTTACAATTGTGTGCAGAAACACATACCACGCAGGAGCCGACATGACCATCTTGCATCTCGATTTGTCTAAGAACACTTGGATTCTAACCTTCCTCTCAGTGCTGTCATGTTTTACTATTTTGAGGTAGAAATAGAAGGAAATAAGGTTGCTTATCTAACTTGGGGATTTTAAATTATGTGTGACTTTGAAAAACTCATTGGTAAATGCCTGCCCTCCGTAAGAGTTATAATTGATTTCTGCCCTTTTGAAAATATTCAGAAAAACGATCTGAAAGATCTTCTCCAAGCTTATTCTCTAATTCATTTTTAGAAAAGGTAGAAGCATACAGAATATGAAATACAGCACTGGCAATTTAAGGTTTTTCCATGACTCATTCAAGGAAATTGCATAATAGCCTTTCCCTGCCAAGTTCATAGACTCTTCTCAAATACCTTGCAATTTTCCTTATTCTATTCCTTTCTTCTTCAACCTCCTCTCTCTTTCCTTCTTTTCTACGTGCCATTAACTTTTTTCTCTTTTCTCTAAGGCTGTAAAACTCTCTTGGGTATAGTCATGTGATAGGCAAGGTGACAAGGGAAATTTGAAATACCCCTGACCTTGCTGGTCTGTCTCCTAGCAACTGTATAATACGTTGCTTAGTAACAGGGGGTGAGAGTGAAGTCGAACTTACAAGTCTAAAAATACTGAAATCATTTTAAAAAGATTAATAGTGGGCTTATTTATTAAAACATACTAAATCCATAAATAGTCTTGCCATGTAAGGGACTTATTTCATGCTATGCTATCTTGAGTGAACCTCTATATCTCTCTTTTTTTTTTTTTCTGACAACTCTTTCTCAACCTTGTGAGAACCTCTACATCTCTTATAATCTGTAGACAGTATTAGAATAACAGATTGCTGTTCACATAGGCAGATGAAGGCAAAAAACCCATAGCGTTCTCTAACCCTTTCTCTTCTACACATACATAATCATGTTTACATCCACAGGGAAAGGGATAAATGTTTCCTAAATGATCTTTAGGCTAGGCAGATGAAGAAAAATGCAGCCTTTTCTAACTTCTCTTTTGCCCATGCATGATTGATTTCTAAATCTAAATGGAGACAGATCCAGCATTATTTCCAGAGAAGTTCAAAAAAAAAAAAAAAAGAAAAAACATTTTAAAAGGGAATATGGGCTGGGCACGGTGGCTCACGCCTATAATCCCAGCCGAGGTGGGGGGACCATCTGAAGTCCGGAGTTCAAGACCAGCCTGGCCAACATGGTAAAATCCATCTCTACTAATAATATAAAACTTAGCTGGGCATGGTAGCACATGCCTGTAATCCCAGCTACCCGGGAGGCTGAGACAAGAGAATTGCTTGAACCCAGGAGGCAGAGGTGGTAGTGGGCCGAGATAACACCTCTACACTCCAGCCTGGGTGACAAGAGCAAAACTCCATCTCAAAATTAAAAAATAAATAAATAAATAACTGGTCAAGCTTCAGAAGGGGCTCCTCAATTGTTCATTTGCAAATGTTTATTAAGACAATTTTGAATTGTAATGAACAGAATTTAGTGATCAGTTAGGATTAATTTAAATGAATTAAAGTACTTACAGTAGTGCCTAGAACACAGTGTTACATTAGGTTATTTTATATATATACATATATTTAATTTTTACATTTATTTATTTATTTATTTTGAGACAAAGTCTCACTCTGTGACCCAGGCTGGAATGAAGTGGTGTGATCTCAGGTCATAGCAACTTTCGCCTCCCAGGTTGAAGTGATTCTTATGCCTCAGCCTCCCTAATAGCTAGGATTATAAGTGTGATCCACCACGCCCGGCTAATTTTTGTATTTTTAGCAGAAATGGAGTTTCACCGTGTTGGCCAGGCTGGTTTTGAACACCTGACCTCAAGTGATTCACCGGCCTCCGCCTCCCAAAATGCTGGGATTACAGGCGTGAGCCACTACGCCTGGCAGAGATTATCATTTTAATCTAGCTTGGTAGACCAGAAAGATGGAGACAATTAACTGATATTAAGAATACAGGATCACTGAGAATATAAAATACTGAGGCAAGTGATGGAGAAAAATGAATTCCATTTAGATATATTGAATTTGAGATGTCTGCAGGTTATCGGGGGGATAAAACCAGTAAGAAATGTAAGACTCAAAGATGGAGGTGTGTTGTGTAAGACATTTTAAAAGTGAATCCTGACTTTTGTGTGACTAGCTATATCTCAAAATGGACCAGTTCTAATTTCTCAGTGTTTTATATCTAACAAGATCAATGCATCTGTAAACTTTTGGAGGCACTAAATGGTTTTTTGTTCACTAGTAAATCAATCTCATTCTGGTTTACCTACGGCATGAAAGTAAGACAGGGATTTGAGAGAAAAGAGAGAAACCCACATTTGGAAGGTTGGGGGAGGGGACCGTGGAGCCTCTTTTGATTACAATTGAATCCCTGTAGCCAGTGCACCATGGCAACCTTCCCAGTCAGCCACCTCATTTCCATCTGCTTTGGAGAAGGAAGGGGGCGGGCCAGAGGTAGTTCAATGTGCATTCTTGTGAGCCTGTGTAAAATGCAATCGAATTATAAATTGTTTCGTGAAAACTGACACGATCTATTGTCTCCTCTGTTTGCTTCTCTTTCTTGTCTTCTCTGGATGCCTTTGAGCCTCTTCAAGTTTTGTCCCCTTTCTTCAAGTGTCAGATTTCATCAGTAGGCCTGACTAAATCACCACCCCAATGTACCAGAACAAAATTACAAATTAAAATATGTATCTCAGGACATAAATATTTTGTTTAAATGAGTGGTCCAGAGGCCGGGCGTGGTGGCTCACACCTGAAATCCCAGTACTTTGGGAGGCTGAGGCGGGCTGATTGCTTGAGCCCAGGTGTTCAAGGTCAGCTTGGGCAACATGGCAAAACCCCATCTCTACA